GGGGCGGGGGGGAGGGGGACTTTGTGAGCTCTGTGAATGCCCAGTGCAGAGGACAAGGAAGGTGAGACCCTGCTGCTTGCAACTCTGTTTCCTGGGCAAGGGCCAGAAGGTGGAGCCCCCAGGTCCCCCAGATCCCCTGACCTGATTCCTGGGATGTCGTATCCCCCCTCCCTCCAGTGCCTCATTTGAAGGGACCCGGCATGGGGTTCTTGGGCCTGGCAGTCTGAAGATTGACCCCCCCCCCCCCACTACCTCCACCCCTGCCCTGAAGCATCTGGATTCCTGAGCGCTCAGTCCCCACCCAGCAGGCTGGCCTACCCTCACCCCAGCCGCTTCTCTGAGGCCAGGGGAGTGGTGGCCAGGCCCGACTGGGGTGAGGCTTGCCTCTGAAAGGGGCAGAGAAGGCCTGCTTCTCGATTTTGCATCCCCATGTCGGACACTGATCTTGGTAGTGGAGTGGAGCCTGCCTTTCTTTTCTACATGGCATGAGGGGTTGCCCTGGACAGGAGGCTGTGTAGGGCGGCCGCCCCTGCCCTCCTCTACTGGATGCGCGTCCCAGGGCCGGTGAAGGAGGGGGGCCTTGTAGGCTGGGGCGGGGGCAGTTGCTGGTCATGCTGTTCCCTGGGCGCTGAGCTCATGCCCCAGCTGGGAAAGGGCTCCGGTCCTTGGGCCCTGGGTCAGAGCCAGAGTTGGGCATGACGGGATTTAGACCTTTCCTCAGCATCACTCCTGAGGCCCCTTCCAGGATGAGTCTTCACGCATGTGTGCATGTGGCCATGTGTCTCTGGGTGTGCATCCGTGCGCATGTGTGTGGGCCCGTGTGTCTGTGTGTCTGTGGGTACATCTCTGGGCATGAGTGTGTGCAAGTATGAGTCTGCGTGTGCAGTAAGACGTGTCTGTGTGTGAGGCTGGGTCTGCACCTCACCCTCGTGAGAGCCTGTGTACGTCCCCGTGCATGCCCATCTTCAGGAGTGACAGGACCGTTTATGGGGTGCTAGCCACGTGGACCACTCTAGCCCTATTCTGTCGTCTCACGCTGCCTGCCATCGCCTGAATGTCTACCTTTCACCCTCTGAACGACAAGGAGCTTACAGATGACCCTGTTGGCATGCAAGCACCTGCAGAAGGGGCTTCTCCTGGAGTATTGGTGGGGGCAGCTGCAGGGAAGAGGCAGCGATGCCAGGGGCAGGCGGGAACCGAGGCAAACGCTGCCTGTCTCACTGCTCTGCCAGGCCTGATACCATCATCACCAACAGCAGGTGGGCGCCGGGCCAGGGCCAGAGCGGGGTCTCCTGATACCAACCAGCCTGGCTGCCTTCCTGGCCCGCCAAGGCCTCTGTCCAAAACGAGTGGCTCCAGGTCCCCAGAACACGCTGCCATCACACCTGTGGGTATTGTTCCTTAATGGTCCCATCTGTGCAGGGTCTGTGGTCCCAACTAGACTGTGAGCTCCTCCTCTGGGCCTTCCAACCCCTCCCCACCCCATCCCAACCTCTGGCCGGCACGGTGGGCCTGCCCTGGAAAGCCTCAGCGGGTGTTGCCCAGTGGACGGAATATACCAACAGAGCCTCCCAGGCCTGGCGGCAGGTCCGAGCCAGCAGAGTCTGGGAGGAAGCAGTGCTGAGTCCACCCCGAGGTCCTGGTTTCACTGACTGGCACGCGGCCTGGCATCGGAAACGCTTGAACGCTCCTCAGGAGGACCTAAGACTGGGAGCCCTGGCCTACCACCTGCCAGTGCTGCCTCTCGTGCCCCCTGGCCCCAGGCCTACTTCCCTCGGACGGCCTTCGGACACACCTGTCCCTGCCCTGGCTGTCCACGACGGGGACTGTCCTATGTTCACCTCCACATCCATAGCGTCCGGTGCAGAAAAGGTGCTTGACATACATCAGCTGAACTGAACTGCACACACGCGGCCCTGGGTTTCTGGTCTGGAGAGGAGACCTGGTGACACGGAGAAAGAGTGCAGGGCAGGGCAGTGACAGGGAGCACTGCTGAGGGAGATGGCACGGCCCGGGCAGCCCTGACTTGAGGCCGCTGGCCCAGGCCACCAGTGTGCCTGAGTGAGACACTGAGGTCCCTGGTCCTCACGTGCAGGGGTGAGGTGTGTGTGTGTCTGTGTGCAGCTGGCCTGCTGGGGATGTGGGGATGTGGGGATGTGGGTGTCCTGTGAGTGCCCAGGGGGTACCAGTCTCTGTGCATTAGTGTTGCGCCAGGAGGTCTGCAAGGAATGAGTGCCTTTGTATGTCTCTGGGTAACTTACAGGCGTGTGTTTGCGTGTGTGTCAGCCCCCCTGTGTCAGCGTCCCTGTGTTGTGTACGTTTGTGTGCCTGTGGATGTCGGCATCTGTGTGTTGGTAGGTGGCCCATGAAGACGCAGCCCAGGGGAGAACAGGCTGGCTGGACCCAGCATCTCCCCATGGCCGTCTCCCCTCTGGGGCCGGGTGGCTGAGGCTTGTTGTGGCCTTAAAACTGGGAGTGCAGGGTTAGCTCTCAGGGCGTCAGGGCCCCTCCACCCCACCCCTGCAGGTGGGTATCTGGGGAGAAAGGCACTCCTGGGCCAGGTGCTGCGCGGGTAGGAGAGGGCGCCTCAACCCTGCTGTCCTGCTGGGACTGTTGGACAGGCCCCTGGGTGCCGAGCTAGGCTCACGAACCAAACCCCTCTGCTGGGATGCTCCCCCCTCGACCCCTTTCCCACTTGTCCTCCTCTCCCTGTGCTCCGTGAAAGCGCTGCCCAGGCTGTCCGTGCCTGGGTGGGCCTCGGAGCCCACTCCTCATGTGCAAATGAGGAGGAGAAGCCCAGGCGGGAAGGGACTGGCCCAGGTCACAGAGCCAGGTAGATGGAGCTAGCCCAGGAAGGCAGTGCTCCAGCCCCGGGGGTGTCAGCCCACTGGCTACTGCCCCTGGGCCTCCTGCCAGGTAGCGGGAGGAGCTTGGTCACACTGCCCTGTCTCTGGGTGTCTGGCCCTGCCCTGGGAGAGGTGCCATCTCCCTGTCCCAAATTCTGGCCTCTCACCCAGGCCACATTCCCTCCCGCCCCGGCTCAGGCCTGGGTGCCGCCTAGAGGCTGCCTCCTCCTGCCCACACCGGCTTAGCGGCAGCCCGCCCGCCCCGGTCCTCAGACAGAGGGACTGCTTCCCCTCCGCCCCTCTGCCTTCACACAAGCCCTGCCTGGGCGTGAAGGTCAGGGTGTCCTGGGTCGTCATCCTGTCGACTTCCCCTCAGGGCCAGGAGGGCCTGGGGAGCAGGGGCAAGTCGGGGTTTTCTTCTCCCTGGACAGGCCAAGGGGACGGGGGTATTTCCCGTGTCTGTCTCCAGGAACAGGAGGGTGAAACAGGTCGAGGTTCTGGGTTTAAGGGGGCCCTTCCCATTTCCAAAGGCAGGGTAAGCACCTCCTCTCTGTTAAATCAGTGTTATGTGTGTATCTGAGCGTGTGTGTGAATGCGTGTGAGTGTGTGTGTGTGTGTGTGTGTGTGTGTGTCTGTGAGAGGGTGTTTGTGTAAGGGTGTGTGTGTAAGGGTGTGTGTGTGAGAGTGAGTGTGTATGTGTGTGAGGGTGTGTGTGTGAGGGTGTGTGTGTGTATGAGGGTGTGTGTGTGTATGAGGGTGTGTGTGTGAGAGGCTGTGTGTGTGTGAGGGTGTGTGAGTGAGGGAGTGTGTGTGTGTGAGAGAGTGTGTGTGAGAGTGTGTGTGTGTGTAAGGGTGTGTGTGTGAGAGTGAGTGTGTATGTGTGTGAGGGTGTGTGTGTGAGGCTGTGTGTGTGTGAGGGTGTGTGAGTGAGGGAGTGTGTGTGTGTGAGAGAGTGTGTGTGAGAGTGTGTGTGTGTGTAAGGGTGTGTGTGTGAGAGTGAGTGTGTATGTGTGTGAGGGTGTGTGTGTGAGGCTGTGTGTGTGTGAGGGTGTGTGAGTGAGGGAGTGTGTGTGTGTGAGAGAGTGTGTGTGAGAGTGTGTGTGTGTGTAAGGGTGTGTGTGTGAGAGTGAGTGTGTATGTGTGTGAGGGTGTGTGTGTGAGGCTGTGTGTGTGTGAGGGTGTGTGAGTGAGGGAGTGTGTGTGTGTGAGAGAGTGTGTGTGAGAGTGTGTGTGTGTGTAAGGGTGTGTGTGTGAGAGTGAGTGTGTATGTGTGTGAGGGTGTGTGTGTGAGGCTGTGTGTGTGTGAGGGTGTGTGAGTGAGGGAGTGTGTGTGTGTGAGAGAGTGTGTGTGAGAGTGTGTGTGTGTGTAAGGGTGTGTGTGTGAGAGTGAGTGTGTATGTGTGTGAGGGTGTGTGTGTGAGGCTGTGTGTGTGTGAGGGTGTGTGAGTGAGGGAGTGTGTGTGTGTGAGAGAGTGTGTGTGAGAGTGTGTGTGTGTGTAAGGGTGTGTGTGTGAGAGTGAGTGTGTATGTGTGTGAGGGTGTGTGTGTGAGGCTGTGTGTGTGTGAGGGTGTGTGAGTGAGGGAGTGTGTGTGTGTGAGAGAGTGTGTGTGAGAGTGTGTGTGTGTGTAAGGGTGTGTGTGTGAGAGTGAGTGTGTATGTGTGTGAGGGTGTGTGTGTGAGGCTGTGTGTGTGTGAGGGTGTGTGAGTGAGGGGGTGTGTGTGTGAGAGAGAGAGTGTGTGTGTGAGAGAGTGTGTGTGAGAGTGTGTGTGTGTGTAAGGGTGTGTGTGTGAGGCTCTGTGTGTGTGTGAAGGTGTGTGTG